TTTCGTTACTCAATGCAAGTAAACAATAGTTTTCGTTTGTCTAATGTGGATATGTTAACGCTTGTACAAACTTCCTAAGTATTATTTTTAATATTATTTTCGTGGGGTAGATTTATTTGTTCTCTTCATTCATCATAGACTAAATATTTCTTTAGATTTTTGAAATGTTAAGTAACGCTTAGTGTATTTGATTTTCTCCTCTGATGTGTTATAGCTTCTTACATTATATTAACAATACTTTTTTTTTTTACTTAGGGTAATTTCTTTCTTTAATGTACATTGGGCAAAATATCGCCGTGAATGTTAAGGACATTAAAGACAATAGGCTTTGAGATGCGTTGACTTTCATTCTGTTTCACAGAACAGGTTCAGCTAATTAGAAATATTCTGAGTATAAACAGGACAACCCGCATTTTTCTCTTGAGGGATAGTCGGCTCATTCTTGCGTTGTTACTACTACTGCAGATTTTTTTTTTTCCTCAGACGGTGCATGCGTATTGAAGTATAATAACAATAGTTTTTCATATTACAGTTCTTGCTACTATAGAAGTCTCTGGTGTACAGTACGTTCCAATGATCATATAAGTTTGTTCGTTTAAGAGCAAATCCACATCTGCATTGTGGAATCGAACCCCGGATGTTAGCTGTCCCACTGGGGGACGATGATATAAGTGTGTTATCAGGTCTTACGACAACAGAGGTTCTTGTAAATGATACGTACCTTTTCAGGTTTTTAATATCACAAATTAAGTTTGTTAGAAGATACGTGTCTTATTTCGCTATTTACTTATCTATGTATTATATATCTAATCATATTTCTATCTTTTGTGTAAATTAATTCCCGATTCGTTAAAAAAAAATCTTTCTTTTTATTAAGATATTATAATATTGATATTCAGTAATGCAAATATATTACTGTGTGCACGTGTGCTTTTCAAGAACGTATTGATTTGAACACCGATAAAGAAAAAAAGGAGCTATTGATTCGAGTGCTTTCAACTTGAAGGTTTTTATTTTAGCTAGATTTCTGATGTCACGAAGATTGCACATAAATCTTGTTTGAAAGGTTAAAAGGCACTCCTTATTTTTGTACCTTTACTAAAATCTAACTTTATGCTTTTTTTTTCTCCTCGTAATGTCTGCTAAACAAAAAGCGAGCCTATAATCAAAATAATAAAGCATAGAGTATATACAGAAGGAAAGAAAATTTTATACTAAGAGAAATAAAATTAATTATTATTTGTTAGCGTAGCCGTAAACGTGTACTTAACTCGAGTGTATGATATTCATCAATTCATCGAATAAAATCCTCTGATTACTCAGACAGTTATGATTAATGTTGTAAAATGGATGAAATGTATCACACACACACACACAATCCTATATATACTCTAGGTCTAATTCATTCTTATATATCTACCTACAAGACTCGTTTTTTTTGTTTGCAGATATTGTAATTTCTTCAATCTAAGTTACATAACAAGTATAGGAGGATATTTATTTAATATTTATATTGAAGTTTTACAGTCAAGTGCGACTATGTTTGAAGGAGAGACAACGGGAGGCCATCTAGTGGTTTTCATTGAAAATACATTATCAAATGACGATACCTGAATGTAATTTCGTTTCACTTCAGTTGTTTCGTTTGCTGCATAAAGTCACACGATGAGGTGTCTGTGCTGTGCCCACATATATTTTATTACCCAAATTATTAAAACACAAGTATACTTAATGTTCAATAATAAAAGAAAACAATACATATATTTTAGTACTGATGGGATTAAAATCCAAATATACTTAATGTTTAATAATAATAAAAATGATTTGCCTAAATATTGTACTCTAATGTATATAAAAAGTATCTGACAACTAGAGACTAGAAAAGGTAATATATTTTATGTGAAATTGTTATGAGTTTCGAACTTGTAATAAACTTCTGATATTTGTTTTGAATTTCGCGCAAAGCTACACGAGGGCTATCTGCGCTAGCCGTCCTTAATTTAGCAGTGTAAGACTAGAGGGAAGGCAGCTAGTCATCACCGTCCACCGCCAACTCTTGGGCTACTCTTTCACCAATTAATAGTGGGATTGACTGTCACATTATAACGCGAACATGTTTGGTGGGACTGGGATTCGAACCCGCAGATTGCGAGTCGAGCTTCCTAACCACCTGGCCATGCCTTCTGATATTTAGATTAGATTAAAATTTATAGATATTTAAAACTTAATTGTTATGGTGTGAACCCCTTTTTCAAGTAGGTGAAACGTGATTATAATTAATTTACTTGCCATTAGATATTAGCATTAGGCCTTTTGTATTTTTAACACCGCATTCTACATCTAGGGCCCGACATGGCCAGGTGTTTAGGGCGCACGACTCGCAATCTGAAGGTCGCTGGTTCGAATCTCCTTCCCACCAAACATACTTGCCCTTTCAGCCGTGGGGGTGTTATAATGTCACAGTCAATCCCACTATTAGTTGGTAAAAGAGTAGCCCAAGAGTTGGCGGTGGGTGGTGATGACTAGCTGCCTTCCATCTAGTCTTACACTGCTAAATTAGGGACGGCTAGCGCAGATAGCCCTCGTGTAGCTTTGCGCGAAATTCAAAACAAACAAATCTACATCTAGTCCATTAAGGATTTTCAACATTTAGAAGAGTGTTTAATAATAGTATTCCAACCACACCATGTCCGTCGTATCCATTGTCGACAACACGTTTCGCTCAAACCAGAGCTTATCAGCTTCACCAGCATGAAAAAAGCATTCACACCATAACAATTGTCGTTGTAACAAATAGCTTATATAAATAGCATTCCAACAACTACTGTGTTTGTCGTATCCCAACCGCCCTGATGAGCTCTGGATTGAGCAAAGCGCATAGTCGGAAATGAATACAGCAAACACAGTGTGGTTGGAATACTATTATTATACACTCTTCAAATTTTTGAAAATCCCTAAGAGACTAGATATAGAATTCAGCGTTAAAAATATAAAAGGCCTATCACTAATGTCTAATGACAACTAAAATATTCACTTAAAACGTATTATTAAGGTGTCTTGTTAAAGATATTAGGAGAAGGTTTTGTGAAGTAACATATTTACCTTTGATATGTGACTAGTGAAACCTCGCTACATCCCATCTTAAAATCTCAATACAGTGGTCGTATTTGTACTTGAGACAAAATTATATTCACTACAATTTAAAGTAATAAACACTACATTGCACTTATCATTCAATTTTTGATACGTTTTAAAGCTTATTTTGAATTTACCTATTAGCAAATTTTAATTTTACTTATGGGTTAATATTCACATAAATATTTTTTTTTGTTTCTGATAACTATGGAAGAAACATAGAAGAAAATGTATGAAGTATCATAACAAAACGTATTTCTCCTCCCAGAACTAAGTTCTCAGGACCATGCATTCACCTAAGTAACAAAGAGGGTTTGTTTGTTGAATTTCGTGCATATCTACTCGAGGGCTATCTGCGGTAGCTGGCCCTAATTTAGAAGTGTTAGACTAACGGGAAGACAACTAGTCAACGCCACCCACTGCCAACTCTTCACAGACCAGTGGTGAAGAAGGAGGTGCTTGACTGGACACGTAGATTTTACTATGAGAGACTGCAAGTATAAGGAGCTGATAAAAGCAGCTCAGTCTAGTGAGGTCTGGTGGCATGTCTCGCAAGAAAATTAATATAATAATATAATTTACAGTTGCTGTCAAATATGTAAAAGTGGGAGTGCTACAGCACCCCCGGTTCCGACGCCTCTGCAAACGAAAAGTGGGATTGACCGTTACATTATAACGTCACCACGGCTGAAAGGACAAGCATGTTTGGTGACGAGATTCGAAGTCACAACCTAACGTGTGATAACTGATTGCCCTAACCATCAGGGACAAAGAGGGAATAAGGAGTAAATAAATTCGAGTGTGTTCTCCTTTATCAATCAACTCCAAGCTTTTAATTTGAATTGCTGTATTAAAACACGATTTTGCTAAAACTTTCGGCAGAGTAACTTTCCGCTTTTCGAAGATATTACAAATAAAATAAAATGTTTTAATGTGATAAAAAATACTTGTAACTTAAATTTTCACCTCAAGTATTTTTTGGTTTAAAGCGGATTTTTTATTACGCTCAAGTTGTAAAACATGCCTGTTCACGTAATTTATCACCATTACTTACGTGAGTCGTTTAAAGCGTTTTGACGTGACCAATTTGAGATGTGAATACAGTGAGTGCAGTAAAAATAATTTAATATACATAATAAATTAGATTCTGGTCTTTTATACGTGTTTCACAAGTTATTACTACGATACAAATCATTATTAAGTTTGAATTTAATTCATCTAAATAAAGAAAATTTGGATGCAGTATATTATTTTATTCAGTTTTGTAATACTCGTATATACGCTTAGCACCGTGGTTTTGGCTATCTTGCGTTTTTATTCATGTTTTCAATGATATTATTGTATACCAGGGTTATATATATCACATTCTGCATTTCTTACTGTTGTTTTGAAGCGCTTACACTGAATTATGATTCTCTGAAGAAACTTGTATGGTATTGGTATGCACCAAAACTTGTCTTTGAATATATATCAGCACTCTGCCAGGTTAGACTTGTTTTATCGCGTCTTCCCTGTCGTACAAAGTGGAATACGCCAATGTCGACCGAGAAATCATTTATATCGAGTTCATTGATAAAGCAGAACGTGTGCTTTTGCACGCACACATACGCATATATGTACAACTCCAACTTAAAAGATAATGTTCTCCTCGGTTAATTGCAAAAGAAAAAGAATTGATACAATTGAATAAAGCTTAAGAACTTTCCATTTACTTTTGAATAACTGTAATAAAAAATATAAAAAAGACTAAATTCTCTAAACACCGAACTGTCAGCGTACGATAGTCGACATCCAATAGTTGCTGGTGTTGAAGCCACGTGATCAGTAGTGCGCTACATTCACTTAACTAGAGTAGAGTGTAGAAATTGACAGTGGTGAGGAAGGACGTAACCACTGCAGAGTTCGGAAAAAGAAGGTACTGTTTATAAATAAAAAATAATTGCCTTTTATTTTCTATTTGACACAAGATACTCTCTGAATTGAGGATTTCAAATAAAATATTTTACTAAATTAACCTTTTTTCTTGAAATTAAATGAAAATGTCAAACCAAACACCTCAGAGAGTTCGTAGGACTGGCTCTCCTAGTTCTTGTTCAAAAAAGCAAGGTCCTCTGAAAGCAACCGTGCCTATGTCATTGATGGGACAAAGTAACAGTCCAACAAGGTCATCAAATAAAAGTACAAGTCCTTCACATTCTCCAGTTTCTAATAGAACGCGTGACGGTAGGAAGTTTAAGTCTAGACAGTCGCCAGATTTTAGGATAGGTTTATCGGTCGATCGACGCAGTCCGGGATCGCCGGGTTACAAAGGTAAGGCCAAAAGGGACGCTAACGTTGTCGTTACTTCCACGCTAGAAAAATCTAATTTAGCTGTAACTACTGTACTGTTGCTACTACTAGTTCTAATTTTGTAGAAATAATGTAATATTTAAGAGCATAAATGACCAAGATGACAGTGGCGAGTCATTCCTGACTCTCCTTTCCCCGAAATCCATCTTCAAGTTTAACAATTCATGTATCTAACAAAATTTTTAACTTGGAATTAAACTAATAGTAACATTACTTCATCAGAAGAGGAGAAAAAACATTATTAACAAGTGTAAAAACTCTTCCCCCCCCCCATCAACCAACAACAACAAAAAATGCATGTTAAAATCTTTGCATCTGTTTGAAAGCACTTGACAAAGTGCCACATGGAAGTCTTGTGAAAAATTATTTAAGTAGGTGTGAGGGATAGGTAGGCTCGTTGGATAGAAAACTGGATGAATAGAAGAAATCAAAGTTATCTTAAATTGTTCAATTACACTGGATTATTATCACAAGTTGGTATCTCAGGGCTCATTGTTGGGACTTTTGCTCTTTTTGATTTGCATCAGTGAAATAGATGAAGGAATGGTCAGTAAATTATTTAAATTTGCTGATGATATTAAGGTTTGTGTGTTGTTGATTGTGGAAGGAGGATGCTACTTTACAGAAAATTTAGATTATTTGGTGAGTTGGATGAATAAATAGCAGATGTCTTTTAATTATAATAAATGCAAGGAAATGCATATGGGATATCGTAACTTGAATTATGAGTACCATTTTTATGGGAATAACCTTAACAGTTTTATAGGAGAGAAGGATCTTAGTATCCTGGTTTCTTAAGCTATCCAAGCAATGTGCTGTTGCTAGTGGCTGGGAAAACAGGTTTTTAGATTGTTTGTACATAAATATTAATTACAAGTCTAAGGAGGTTATAATTTCATTGTATAGGTAACTGATTAGGCCACATTTGGAGTATTGTATTCAGTCTTGGGCTCTTTACATCAGTAAAGACATTGATTTGTTGGATAGGGTTCAGAGGAGGGTTACTAGGATGATACATGGGATGGAAAGGTTGTCATACGAAGACAGGTTAAGATCTTTGAAATTGTTTTATCTTGAAAAAAAAAGAAGAGTTAAGGGAGATCTGATTGAAGTGTTTAAGATTGCTCAGGGAATCAATAATGTTAATGCATCAACATTTTTGTGCTTAATGGTGAATATGATGGGACTAGGGAACACAAATATAGATTCTAGCGGAGTAGTAGTCATCTTCAGCTAAGGCAGTTTTATTTTTCTAATTGTAGTTGGTCTTTGCAATGGATTACTTTGGATGTGGTGGATCCAGTAAATTAAAGGGAGATTAAGGAAAGCTTGATAAATATTTAACTGAAAATGGTTATCTTTGTGTGTGTGTTTTATTTTGAAGTTTAGTGGATGAGATGGCCTTGATGTACCAACAGGTCTTTTGTTCTCCTTAGTTATATATGTTATATTAATTCAGGTTTTCAGTGTTAAATCTTCTACTTATACTGTAAGATATTGAAGTTTGTTTTTTATTAGCATATTCATTCATCTACTCAGAGAGACAATACATAAGACAAATCCCTAAATCCTAAAAATCTTTAATCAAGTCTTCCTAATTATTCTAAACTCTTGAGAAAACATTCTGAATTGTAAGCCCCTCTTTATAGTTTAATTAACTTGATCTAGGAATCCTTTTAGTGTTAGCAGGAGCCCATTTCTACATTTTTATAAACAATACAACATGAGTAGCCTTCATGATTCTGAACTTAGAATTCCTCTAAATAAAACCATGGACACTTATTTGCTGTTATGACCACATATAAGCATTCCACAGAAAGCTTTAAGGTTTTATTATCTTTCACACTTAAATTCTTTTTTTTTTCTTCCTTACAACACAAATGTTATATTCACACAAGAAATGATGCTCCCCCCCACATTTATACAAAGTGCATAATTTTACACTGATATTAAAACTTATTTTGCAATTTTTTGTCTTTTTATTAAGGTTGTCAAAATATTTTATGAAAGATTCTCAATAAAATCAGCTTTACCCATCATGTTAGTGCTAGCAAATTTAGAAATCCTATTATTCAAAAAGTCATTCAAATGACTTACAACAATAATGAATAACAGAAGGACAGGCCCGTATGGTGTTGTCTTGTAATAATGACATCAGTAATAAAGCAGACTGTAAAAAATGATACCATCAATAATCCAAAGTAAAAAAGAATAAATCTTAAACAGTTTTAAATATGTTTTTGGAAAGAATCAATGCTTTTTTGGCATACCACTTTCCCACTCTACTATGGCACTATTATGTTACTCATGGCTATTTTTTTCTTGGATATGTCATTATCTCTATTTCAGAAACCTTTTTGCATGCTTTCTATCTACTTTTTAAATTTTCCATTATTCGTAGAAGCATCCAATATACTAATCAAACTTTGTTAGATACCATATGAGTTTTAAAATTCATATGTACAATATCATATGGGATATTCTCAACCAAAAGAGAGCCAACATGGATTCTTTAAAGGGAAATATTGTCTTACTAACCTACTGACATTTTGTTGAGGATGTTACATGTTGTTTGGATGATGGAAGGAGCATGGATTTGGTTTTACTTAGATATTCATTAAGTTTTTGATAAGGTGTAATACAGGAGATTACTTTAAGAAAATCACATTCTTGGGGCTTGGGGAAAGATAGTTAATTTGATTGTTGGATAGCCTGGGGGAGAATTTTTTTTATTATTATTAATGAAATCTAGTCAAACTGGACATTTCTTACTTATGGTGTACTTTAGGGATCAGTGCTTGGGCCTTTCTTTTTTCTTACTTACATTAATGTTACTGATAGGGGCATAGTAAATATATAAATATATATATATATATATATATATATATATAT